TGACAAAGGTGTCAAAGATAACATTAAATTTCCCTATGGACACATATCAAATTCCACAGTTTTCTCTAGATTCTGAGATGAAAAGAAAGAATTACAATCTAGGTCTGAGAATAGTTTTGAAATTGATTTCTCATAAAATGTCTCTGTTTTCAATAGAGTTATTACTCTGAAATAATAATTTCTTATTTTAATATTTCAATTCATTATTTTTATAAATTGCGATGAAATACTATGTTATATAAGGCCATAGAAAATTAATCTTTAGACTCTCATCCAGGTTTCAAGAAATAATTGGGGCGGGTGGGCGGAATTTATAATTTATAATTTATTTTATCCATCACTTTTAAGACCTGAAAAAACAGAAATGTATGAATATTATTATTGATGAACGTCGCATCATTTCCACCGAGATTTTGATCAAAACTAAACCCAAACCAATCACAAACAGTTTTCTTGTTTACTGCATCATATATTTCACATATGACGAACATTTTGACAATTTTATTGATCGAAAACGAACGTATTTAAAATCTTGATCACTAGACGCTGTAAACCTCAGTCTGATTTTTATGCGTTCGTCCCGCGAAAATTCAACCACGATTTTCGGACGAATTTTCGTCCACAGACGTCTGAGAAATGCGCTCGCCAATGGCGCCAAAATATTAATTCTGGCGCATAAAATCTTTAATTTGCGAATTAAACTGGCGCCAACGTAAGATAAAAGCATCCGACAACTAGTACACTTAAATGTCTTAAGCGGCCGCGTCAATTACATAAGCGGCCCAAATGCGAAAGGTCATGCGCTATTAGTTTGTTTATCAAACTGTATAATCAGGTACCGTATAATCAATTATGTCATCAATTGTGTGACACTTCGGGAACATGTGAAGATGAAACTAATTTTGAACCAGAGGGAACCCTGGAAATGAACAATTTTTTTCATGAAAATAAATTATTTTGGGGCGGAAAGATTTTGATATGGGCGGGCGGGGATGAGAGTCTAAAAATTAATTTTCTGTGGCCTAAATGTTTTTGTCACTGTTATAACTGGAGATAAAATGTTGCAAGTTTCTATCTCATTTTATCACTGTTATAACTGGAGATAAAATGTTGCAAGTTTATATCTCATTTTATCACTGTTATAACTGGAGATAAAATGTTGCAAGTTTATATCTCATTTTGTCACTGTTATAACTGGAGATAAAATGTTGCAAGTTTCTATCTCATTTTGTCACTGTTATAACTGGAGATAAAATGTTGCAAGTTTCTATCTCATTTTGTCACTGTTATAACTGGAGATAAAATGTTGCAAGTTTCTATCTCATTTTGTCACTGTTATAACTGAAGATAAAATGTTGCAAGTTTCTATCTCATTTTATCACTGTTATAACTGGAGATAAAATGTTGCAAGTTTATATCTCATTTTGTCACTGTTATAACTGGAGATAAAATGTTGCAAGTTTCTATCTCATTTTATCACTGTTATAACTGGAGATAAAATGTTGCAAGTTTATATCTCATTTTATCACTGTTATAACTGGAGATAAAATGTTGCAAGTTTATATCTCATTTTATCACTGTTATAACTGGAGATAAAATGTTGCAAGTTTCTATCTCATTTTGTCACTGTTATAACTGGAGATAAAATGTTGCAAGTTTCTATCTCATTTTGTCACTGTTATAACTGGAGATAAAATGTTGCAAGTTTCTATCTCATTTTGTCACTGTTATAACTGGAGATAAAATGTTGCAAGTTTCTATCTCATTTTGTCACTGTTATAACTGGAGATAAAATGTTGCAAGTTTCTACTACTACATCAAGTCACCTAACTCTAACTACCTTAAATAATTAACCAATTAACTATTTAATGATTCTTGGAATGTAGACATTAATAATGGATTATTTTTCTCAGCATGAATAAAATCTTTCAGACACTAATTAGCAAGAAACAAATTTCTTACTTTAATAATCTCATTTTAAGAAATAAAATCATTAATATTTTTAGTTATATTCAATAACTCAAGCACTGATTGCTAAAAACCAGTTTATATTATAAATGGTAGAAGAACAATGTACTAGCAATTAAATTAGTTTCCAAATAAGGTGAGCATAATTAATAAGTCTAACTATTTAAAATACTTCCTAAAACTGTTCAATAAACAGCACATAAACAACCACCTTCCTTAATTAATATAACAATTAAATCTAAATATAATGTGATTGAAATTTTTAATATATTACTTCATCTTTGAAAAAGGATTTTTAACAAGAACTTCTCTAATGCCTGAATAAAATGTTGTCTATGGATTATAAAACTGTTTTAAGATGCTTTAAGGGGGTTTTAAGTCTGTTTCTCAATTCATGTCTGAGGTTGACAGTAAAATCTATAAACACAATGCAAACTACTGTGTTTTCATCAGACTAAACTTGCAGACTGTTTCTGTACTTTTATAGCTGTGTTGGTCTATAAATAATCTGTGGATGATGCTCTTGGCCACACTAAAATCTTGATAAATTAAAAACAGTTAACCAAAACCACGAAGATATCAATTATTTGGTGTGTATGTATCTACAAATACTAACTGTATATATATTGACACAAAAAGCTCTATATATTTTCAAGAAAAGTTAAACTTTAATTAATATTTCATATTATCTATATACTATATGGGTATATGTATAATCAGTGAATCACACCCCTGTGCAGACTGGTCTGTCACTATAATACTTGGGTGGTTTGGTTCTCAGGCTTTGTTGTCATATTACCCCTGGCAAAAGATCTTATAAAAGCAATATGTTTACCCAAATCCCACACAGACAGCCACCACAAGCTCATTTATTTTTATAAACAAGATAATTGAGTAGAAATGGCATAATTTCTTGAAATAAATCTTATCATTGTAGTTTACTGCACAAAGTCCTGTGAAAAATGCACCTGGTTTTGCTCCTTTGGGAAATGATATGAACTTCTTTTGTTTGGATATATCTTTTTTAATGACCATGAAATTCCATGCAGATATAGAGCAATATTTCATAATGAAACAGAAGTATGGAAGGTTTACAGTAAAAAGTGGTGACATCTTAGAAGTGACTATACAAAAGGTGCACATAAAGATGATCTTTGAACACCATATCATATCATAAAGTGACCACACAGTAATTTGCTGTCATGTTGGTGGATTGTTTTAAGAAACAAATTGGCATCCTGGCCATTGACCCATACACACAGGGACACAATCAGAATAATGCTTCCAGTATTTATCAGATAGTATGTCCTTCCAGGAAAACAAGATTTTATCTTATACCAACATGCACATGAATCAACATACATATCAGTCTGTGAAGTTTGTTTTGTCTGCAAATTCTGACAATGTTAACTAAGGTAATTGAGTTATTGAATTAATTTCTAACAGTATTTCATATTTAGCAAACTTTTAAACTTTATGTCTTGTCTTTCAAAAAAGTATACTTTCTGTCCTGCCCCTTCATACAGGTGAACTTTCAGATCAAGAGTCCATTGGAAAATACACTATGCATTAACAAAATGGCCTAGGTGCAATTTAGGCTAAAGCTGCCCTTCGATGTTTTTATCACAATGGGAGTTTTAAAAAGAAACAAATCAATTTAGGAAACCATTTCTCCAAACATGAGCCAGAATTAAATTAAATGATTTTCTCCAGCTACCAGAGACAGTTCTAATGCCATTTTTTCTAATTTTCCTCACAATTTTTCCAATAAACTTGATTATTATAAAAGACTTGAAATGTATTATTAACTCTAGCATTTGTTTAAATTGTACGCAAACTAGTTAAATTCATTTTTATCATTTATTGTGACATGTAATAATTTATATCAGTGAATAGAGAAAAGGAGATATGTTACTATATAATCAAATAATTAACTAACTTTGTTGATAAAGCAAACATTTTAACAGGCCATGAACAATGAAATGTATTCTTTTATTGTTTTTTGTTGTTGTTTTTTTTTGTATAAAAGACAGAGCATGAAACAAGAATATATAGAAGATTTTGTTTGCAAGAGTTAAAGTGAAACAGACACTAGCTCCCCTAGCTGACAATCCTGTCAACAGTCATCAGACAACAACAATTTAAATCAATAAAAATAATATTGACAGATCACGCTCTGTTCCGCTCAAACCTTAAAATATGGCAAGTGATTCCTGAGCTATAACACCTAACCAATTATATGACAGGAAATTATTCTAGCTATTGAAAGCTTTTGTGTTGCTAGTGGCTCTTTTATGATCAATGTTTCACATTGAGCTTGCTTCATGTAAAAATGAGACAATGTTTTTTGACTTTGTCAACGTCAGTTCAACATTTTCATTTCTACAATAATTGTGCATAATAACTACATAATGGTAATGTTATGAAGTCGAAATGGTACTTTTTCCACAGCATTTCAGTGTTTATACATAAAGTATCTTTTCTTACAACATGTACATATAGCATGTACATACAACATGTACAAAAGCACAACCTGGTAAGCTCGGTAGAGCATTGGACTGAGAATAAGGCAACCAGGGCTCGGTTCCCGGACAGAGCAAGTCATATTCATTGTGATTGATCATGAAATTTTTCTACAGTCATTCACACTGAACCTTTGCTCTGGCATGTAAAGGAAGGTCATTAACACTTTACCTTTGCTCTGGCATGTACAAAAGTTTGCAGTTCCTTGCGAAAGTGACATCATCTAGTACTGGTAAATTGTTTGACAGCCTGCCCAGAAACCATGCGGTGACTGAACTATGCTTTGGTTATTTAATGTGATGAACCAGAGGGTAAACTTAAAGACTGCAACCATTTACATAAAAATCCTTACTTAGGTATTACAAACTACCGTTCTGATGGCTTATAAGCAACTGGGGTACCTTTCAGGTCACATAACAATGTCTTCTTTGTGAGAGTAATCAAAAATACCTAACTATAAACTACTAATACAACATGCAATATAACATTATCTAAAGATAGTAACTTACTTGGAGTGTCTGCTCTTTTATCCTCGTTAAATTGTTTCACTAATTCTTTGTGATCACTTTCATGAATATAATCATATACATTTTTTCCAAATAGATACTCCTGAAAATATACATTTGACAAATGCTAAAAGCTAACATATCACTTTGTTTATATATTATATTTATTGTACATAGAAGATATTTTATTAGATAATGTTTAAGGAACACATTTCAAAGGTCCAATTCTACATTATCATGCCAATCAAAAAGGTTTTTTTACAGAACCATGACTATTTCACACAAATAGTGCAAATCTCTCCCCCTTAATGCCCCCTTTTGGGGGAAAAACATATGGCACAGAATTAATTTAAGGTGCCCCAAAACTTAAAACCCAAAAAAAGGAAATTTCCCCCGAAAAAGAATTGGGATTATAACAAGAAAAAAATTTAAACCAAATTCCCTTTTAAAGCTTGGAAAAAGTTTTCCCGGAAACAAAATTTAAAATTAAAAAAATTAACTTTTAAAAATGTTTCAAAAAAATTTTAAAACAAAATTTACCTTTTTAAAGTTTTTTAAAAATTGTAAAAAAGAAAAAGGGTTTTTTTTAGCCTGAAGAAAATAAACAAAATTTTCAGCATTTTTTTGTTGAAAACTTGTAAAGTATATTTTGCTTCAGGCGGAAGAAAAGTGATCTTTAATGTTGAGGGGGTCAGAAAATATAATTATAATTTAAAAGAAAATTCTGATAGATTTCCTAGCTGAAAAAGGGAAAACACAACATCATTAATGAAATGCCCCAGAAAACAGTTACAAGTTCAGTATTTCCTACAGCCCCTTTTATTCTACAGTTTCTAAAAATAAAAAGTTACGTTTTCTGAAACCCCAACAGTTAATTGGTTTTAAAGTTATATGTTCATTAAAATTTTGGACAAAATCCCGGGGGAAACATTTTTTCAATAACAAAATCTTACATTCCATAAAAATTGGGGGTTAAATGATTTTTACAGAGTAAGGATGCCAATCAATTTATCCCGAATTTTTTTACAAAAAGCTTCTTTGTAGTAATGAAGGAAAAGACTTTACCCGTTTATTTTGGGATTTTTCCAAATTTTACTTTAATTAACCCCTATACATGTAGTTATAGATTTCAGGCAATAAAAAAGTTATAAATAGTTTGAGGTCACTAAATCATTAAAATTAAAGAAAATTTTATTTATTCAAGCCCCAAAAATCAATCAGGGGAACAAAACAGCAACCATGGAATATAGAACCTGTTGAAAAATTAAAAAATTTCAGGGAAATATACAGAAACCCCGGGAAATGAAACCCCTTTGAAATTATAAATTAATATTTAAAAAACCCGGAAATTAACCCCAATTCCAAACCAAAAACAGGGCACCCAAATTTGAATATAGAACCCGGGAAACCCTAAATATCTCCCAAAGAATAGAAGGGGAACCATTTGAAATAGACTATCAATTTAAGAAACAGGACCAGTCAACCATGTGAATATAGACTATCACTCAAAGGACAGGACAGTCAACCATGTGAATATAGACTATCACTCAAAGGACAGGACAGTAACCATGGAATATAGACTATCACTCAAAGGAAAGGACAGTCAACCTTTTGGGAAAATAGACTAAAAACACTCAAAAGGACAAGGAACCCGTCACCATGTAAAAATAGACTATATCAAAAAGGGAAAAGGGCAGTCAAAACCCTGTGAATATAAAACTTTTCCTTTAAAGGAAAAAAGGACAGTCAACCATGTGAATATAGACTATCCAAATCAAAGGAAAAAAGGGCAGTCAAAACCTGGGGAATATAGACTATCACTCAAAGGGCAGGAACCCCCGTCAACCCTGGAATATAACTAAACCCCCTCAAAGGACCCGGACGTCAACCCTTAAAAATAGACCCCATTACCCAAAAGGAAAAGGAAACAAAAACGTAATATAGACTATCACTCAAAGAAGGGCATCAACCATGTGAATATAGACTAAACAATCAAAGGAAAAGGACATCAACCATGTGAACATAGACTATCACCCAAAAGGGCAGGACATCAACCATGTTTAAAAGACTAAAACTCAAAGGGCAGGACAGTCAAACCATTAAAATAGACTATCACTCAAAGGGCAGGACAGTCAACCATTAAATTAAACTATCCCCTTTAAAGGACAGGAAGTTTAACCCATGTGGAAAATAACTATCCCAGAAGGGAAAAAAGTTAACCCTTTTTAAAAACATACTCAAAAGTTCAGAAAATTTAAATTAAAAATTTTTTTAAACCCAAAATTTAAGGAAAATTTTCCCCTTTTTTGGATTTTTCATAAATTAAATTATTTGGGTCAAAATTTTGAAAAGGGTTTTAACCCGGGGAAAAAAAAAAATTCCCCCCCCGTTTGAAAATTCTAAAACAACCGTCTTTTTTTATAAACTTTTTCCCCAAATGGGCTAAAAGAGGTTTTACCAAAAGGAAAAACTAAAAACTTGAAATAGGCTACAAAAGGAAAATAACCTTTTTTAACTAAAAATCAAAAAACAAAAAATTGGAAATTAAACTTTTCCAAAAGGGGGCAAATTAATTAAATTTTTAAAAATTATTTCCTCAAATTTAAAAATAACAAACAAAGGAATTTTGGCAAACATCAAAAAATTTTAGTTTTACCCAAAATTGAACCCATTTAAAAGGACATTTTATCCCCTTAAAAGATTAAAAATTTATTTAAAGGACAGGCAAACCTTAAAAATTAATTATAAAAAGAAAAAAATTAATTTAAAAATTTTCCTTAAAGGAAAAAATAACTTAAAAAGATTTTTTCCCTTTTATTATCTTTTAAAAAGGAAAAGGGGTTATAAAAAAGGACAGTTTTTTTAATTTAAAACCCTAAAGGTGACCCTGCCCCCAACCATGGTATTATTTGTAACATTTAAAAAACATAAAACCTTAATTAAAAATTTTTTCCCAAATTGGGATAAATTTAAAATTAAAGTGTCCTTAAAAGGAAAATTTCAATTTTCCCCCCCTTTAATAAAAAGGGAAAAACCCTTTAAAGGCCCGGGAAAAAAAAATTGGAAAATTTGATCCTTTTTAAGGAAAAAAAAGTAAATTTATAACATCACTTTAAAAAGGGGCCCATTAAATAAATATCCTAAAAGGGAAGGGAAGTCTTCCCTTTTAAATAATATTCCCCAAAGGAAAAAGGCAGCAACCCTTTTAAATTGGATAAAAAGGGCGGGCATAAAACCCTAATTTCCTCAACCAAAAAATTTTAACCCTTTAAATGACAAAATTTTAAAAAATTTAATTAACATTTAAATAAAAACTGAAATAAAACAAAAAGGCTTGGGATTTCAAAATTATTTAAAAGAAAATTTAAAATTTAAATTTTTTAAATGGTTTTTTAATTTTTTTTCCTTTTGCCTAAGAAAACTCCCAAAGAATTCCAAAATAACCGTTTTTTTTCTTTTTTTATTTAAATTGTAAAAAAATTAAAACAAATGTAACAAAAAATTTTTAAAAATTCTTGGGGGGTTGTATAAAATGTTAAAATTTTTTTTAAAAATAAAAAAATTTTGCAAAAAAGTATTAAAAAATTTTTGAAAAATTAAAAAATTTTAAAATTCTATTTCCCTTAAAAAAATTAAAAAGGAATTTTCCGTAAAAAAAATTAGTTTTAACAAAAGAAAGATGGGGAAATTGCCCCCAAAAACCTTTGTTAACATTTTCCAAATTGGAACAAATTAATATAAGGTATATTGTTATTTTTAAAAAAAAAAAGGTTCTTTCCCAATTATTCTTTAATGAAAGGGTTATAAAAGGGGAAAAATTTTTTTTTACTTAATTAAGGAAAGGCCCCTTTAATTTGCAGGGGAAAAATGGGGAAAAAATTTAACTAAAATTTTGTAAAAGTTATTTGGGGATATGTGTTCAAATTAAAATAAATAACCAAATTTTTAATATTTTTATTAATTTTAAAAACAAAAAAAGCTTTATAAATTAACTTTTCCCCTTCAAAAATTTTTGGGCCAAAAAAAATTTAAAAAAAAATTAAATTATATGTTTTAAGGGTTTTCCCCAAATATCCTTAAAGGTTGGGTTTTGAAAATTTAAAAATTCCTTTTCGATTAACAAAGATGAGAAAACCATTAAGAGCCTCAAGCATAAACTGCCCTTCCTTTTCTTTCATAGAACCTGAAATAGATAAAATTACATATAATTCTAATTGTTAAATAAATACACTATATAAAATAAAATGGTTCCATGAATCACTTATAGTTCTTTATCCATATGACTGTATACTGATTTATATACCAGTTCTATACATATATATTTTCCTGTTTGCTGAATGGTTCCTCAGAACTTTAATGAGCATACATTGTTAAAATAGATCTTTGATTCTACCTAAGGCCTATTGTATTGTTACACTGGTTCATTCCTATATTTCTATACTGGCTGATGTATTTGTTCATGGGTTTCTTATGGTTAGGTGTGTATGTACTTAGGTTTATACAAACAATTTATAAATTCTATGTCCCCCAGAATAGCTCCTTACTTTGACCAGTGATTAAAATTATGTTTGTACATTTGTTAAAGCCTTTGTTAGTATATAGGTATACAAACTTTGGTTTATTATACCCTTTCTATCCATTACTTCTTGAGTTTTTAACTACAATGTTTCACCCTTGAATATATTGTCTACCATTAAACATTTTTCAAAATATACAACAGACTTTCACTCCTTAAGGCAGTAATATCATCAATAAATCAACCCAATTTCATCTATTTATTTCTTAATAAGATTTGATTGACATTCTTCCAACACTCAGAAGCAATTCATTACCATCTAAACCCTTACCACAAAAGCCATTAAAATATCTAATAAAATTGCTCATACCAAAATCTGTACCTGCTTTTTTATAATCACCTGATAATGTAATGTTATTGGCATCATAAACTTATTGGCTCATAAATCTATTTCAAAGACTTTTATCATAAAAATGCTACAAAAAACTGTTCATATCTTGGGGGAAAAAATCTGAATAAATACAGTGTTGTCCTAGCAAATGAGATTTTCAAATACAGTTACTTCAATTAATTCTTCTACCTGTATTTATATCACCTGCATTAATGCATTTACAATCTATGCTATTCACATCATACATATTTCTCATATTACTTTGAACTCTTCTCTGTTACTGAAAAAGTTCTATATATCAATGCACAAAGGACTTAATATCATGTTAAAGAAGAGAACTGTTCACTAATAAGGGGAGAAAATAGTGACAATTATGGGAGAAAATGTGTAAGTGGCTAGATAGCTCAGTCAGAAGAGTTGCATATGGTATTCCAAGGGTAACCTGTTTGAGTCCCAGTCAAACTGCACATTTTTGTCACCCTGTTTCACTTATACACTATGGTAATAATAATGCAACTAATTTGACTACTCTCATAAGCAGCTTCTAATTAAAGTGCTTGCATTTGGCTTAAGCAATAAAAACTAGACCTATCACTGAAGGTGATTAATACCCCCACCAGCAACTTTTTGAAAAATAAGTAGTCTGTAGAAAAATTTCAACACAAACTATCAACTGTGTACAAAGAAATATTTCAATTAATTGTAATCCCAACTGGGGTCTCCAAATAAGCTTGCTTTTCACAAAGTTTGATTACAATATCTCATTCCTAACTCTAGTTATTGTCCAGAAACCATTTTTCTATTTTTAGGAATGGTGACCTTGACCTTGACCCAAGGGGGTCCAAATGCAATACCAACCCAGGTCTTCATATAAGCTTGCTATACACCAAGTTTGATAACAATATCTCATTCCTAACTCTAGTTATTGTCCGGAAACCATTTTTCTATTTTTAGTAACGGTGACCTTGACCTTGACCCCAGGGGGTCCAAAAACAATACCAACCCAGGTCTTCATATAAGCTTGCTATACACCAATTTTGATTACAATATCTCATTCCTAACTCAAGTTATTGTCCGGAAACCATTTTTCTATTTTTAGTAACGGTGACCTTGACCTTGACCCCAGGGGGTCCAAAAACAATACCAACCCAGGTCTTCATATAAGCTTGCTATACACCAATTTTGATTACAATATCTCATTCCTAACTCAAGTTATTGTCCGGAAACCATTTTTCTATTTTTAGTAACGGTGACCTTGACCTTGACCCAAGGGGGTCCAAATGCAATACCAACCCAGGTCTTCATATAAGCTTGCTATACACCAAGTTTGATAACAATATCTCATTCCTAACTCTAGTTATTGTCCGGAAACCATTTTTCTATTTTTAGTAACGGTGACCTTGACCCCAGGGGTCCAAATGCAATACCAACCCAGGTCTTCATATAAGCTTGCTATACACCAAGTTTGATAACAATATCTCATTCCTAACTGTAGTTATTGTCCGGAAACCATTTTTCTATTTTTAGTAACGGTGACCTTGACCTTGACCCCAGGGGGTCCAAATGCAATACCAACCGGAGTTTTCACATAAGGTTGCTATATACCAAGTTTGATTACAATACCTCATTCCAAACTCTAGTTATCGTCCGGAAACCATGATGTGGACCGACCGACCGACCGACCGACCGACAAGCTGACTCCTATATACCCCCCCTAAACTTCGTTTGTGGGGGTATAACTACCATGAAAGTAGGCTATAGGATAGTCAGTCCTTTAGTTTGCACAACTAAATCACTAATAAACTATTGGGATGAATCAGTGTATAATTCTATAATTATATATAATTCCCTGTATTGCAATGTTTTCTTATGATTTCATTAAGCGTAATTCATACTTTTAACAAGATCTGTTTAGCAAGTCAAAAATGAAGACACTCTTGATATTATTCTAATACAGGAAATATCATTATCACTGATAATTTAGAAACACTTCACAGATACTTCCTTAGTACTTAAAGCCAATCAGATATTACCAAATTATGACACTTGTACATGGATAGTTAGTTAAAAGACAAAGTAGGAACAATTTGCAGCTAAAAATATACTTATACATAGGGATGTATACATATATATAAAATACAGCTAGGATAATGTAAAACTTACATCAAAAGTTTACAAAATGTATAAGGATAATGAGACAATTAAGAAACTTCTGTAAACATATTAACCAGTTAGTGATAAACATATGTCATAAAGACACTTATAATGATCACAGGAAGTCAGTATTAAAGCTCTTTGAACATAACCTTTGAAGTATCAGTCAGACCCAGTATTTATTCCAGGAATAAAAATACATGTTTTTTCAAACTATTGAAAACCCTTTTTTCTAAACCCTATTTCAATAGTTCTACTTAAGTGGTTTGGGAAAAGTAAGTTGTTAAACTAAGCCAATAGATCACTGAGCATAAAATATAAAACTACTCGAGTGTTTAACTTCCTTTCTACTGCATATCATTCTTTCATAACTATGCAACATTTAAGGATGTTATTTTAGTTATAGATAGAAATCTTGTGGTTTTCTAAAATATTTCTAAAGTTACATGTTAACCAATCAGTCACTAGCTGTAACATAGTACAATTGTACATTATATCCTTCATTTTTATTTCTCTTCCTGGTAGGTAAATCCCTACTATGTACCTTAGTAATGCTTTCCATAATTTTCATTATAAAAGAAAGGGAAAGTAATCTAACCAATGCCTCTGAGATAATTTAAGCTGATCTCTATAAGATAAAGGTAAATCTTTTGAATAATAATAATAAAGTGTGAATAATGAAAAGTGCTTTTGAAGTTCAGATATAACCAAACAATCAGCCATCATGGCAATCTATTGTTTTTCCTTCTCAACACCTTGAGATTCAAATGGATACAAAGTCCTTGAAATGATATGATATATTATACCTTACATGAAATTAATGTTTTCATTCTTTACTTCTGTGTCAGCTGGCCATTAAATATTTCAATTTTCAGAATGACATCAGTTGTATAACAGTATAAAGTGACTGTCAGACTGGCCATCTTACTGTTTTTGTTTGAATTATGGGCTGCATAAATGCTTTAGTAGATTCTACAAAGTTTGCATGACATTTTTCCATCTTCCACAAGACAAGACACAAGTTCATCTCTGAACCAGTTTATATTCTCATGTCTATCTTGTAAATCATAAAGTCTTAAGTAATATACCATCAACTCATCAACTTAGTTATCTTGCAAAAAAAATTCACTTGATACATATTTTTGCAGTCTTGCTAAAGGTTACAACAAATATCTTTGCCTTCTGTGTATATGATGATCTATTCACCTGTATATCTTCATTACCATCCATATTTCTACTTTTAATTCTCATCAACAAATAGCAACACTTACATGACGAGAAAAAAATGCAAGAGCTGTCCATCACCCTGGCTAAGATAAATTTTGCAAAAGAGTTATCGTTCTTGGACAGGAACAAATTAGTGATTGAAACATAGTCCAAATGTGATGTTGACCTTTGACCTTATACCCTAAAAATCTTAGGCAAGGGCAATCCAGCTGCCAAGTTGGCTAATTTCTATTAAAGATATTGATAAATATTTAGATTTCAACACTATAAATGTCTCTGACCTTGACCCTTCAAATTGATCAGGGCCATCTACTGGAAATCGACAAAGTTCCTACCAAGTTTCACAAACCTATGCTTATTCCTTCTCAAGGAATAGAACATACAAAGATTTCAAACTAACTGTCACTGTAACCACAAAACCAATAGGGGCTTTAAAGAACTAACCAGATGCCAACCATCCTTAATATAGAGACCTCACATAGTTCTTCTGTTCACTATATAATTGAGAAGATGAAAAATTTTAACAACTGATAAAAATTTTACCAATCAATGCTGCATATGAAGCATTAAATATACTAATTAGCATTTTGAATGGTTAAGATAATATCTGTGTAAACTAAAAAAGGGTATGTTAAGTTCAGTCCATTAACCTTAAACATACATTATATTTGAGTGTATTACACTTTAATGCAATCTTTGTACTACATTTGAAATATCAAGAAATAATCAAGATATACAAACTTCATTCCCTATAAGTCAGATTGATATAATTTACTGATGTAGCTGCAGTATTAGCACTTGCTAAGTCCTGTGCAAATACACTCAAGTATCCACACAGTAATCAGGAACCTAAGCATTTTTGTTGGGACTTTCTTCAGCTCTTGTGCTGCTTTGGAGGAACATTTAGTTTTTATGCTACTGTAAAAACTCTATTCAATTTGCCATTACTAGCAGCAGTTATGATGCAACAGTGAGAAATAACAAATGCTATAGTAGTAACAGTATGATAATTGTAGAAGTGTTTCATTATGTTTTTCCTTTTGATGTTTAACAATCATTGGATGGAATCTAAAACAAACAAATGCAAATACCAGTGTGTCAGTAATGCACTGTGCACTATTGTAAGAAAGTTACTTTTAGTGACAAGTTTAAGTTGTTAGAGTTGTCTAAACATGACAAAAGAATTTTAATGAAAGCAAAATACTTTCTGTAGCTTCATAAACTCACTACAAACTTAAGTATGAGAAAAAACTGCAAAGGATAATAACACCAAAATTATACAAAAGTTATTGTTCATGATGAAGTTTCAAGTTGATACCTCTCAACTCTGGAGAAACAATACAAGTGACAGTCAAACCACCCCCACCCTATCTTACAACTTTGTTGTAAAGGGGTTATTGCAAAGGGGCATATCCAATTTTAAGTACTGACAGTCAGATGGATTAATGGATGACCAAGGGTGTAACATAATACCTATAATAATCCAATCATATAATTTAAACATGATCAATTTACAATAATTCATGATACAGGTTTTCCTGGATTTATATTACAATACTTTAATAAATAAATCTCACCACATTTATTTTGAGCTTGTGCCTGCACAGCTACAATAGTCTTGTTACACTGTGTACTTCCATTTGTTATTGCTTTGTGTCCAAATGTGGCAATGTCTGAAAATACAGAAAACAAACACACATCAAATAATGTCCCAATATGGCAAATGAAAATAATGGCAATGTCTGAAAATACAGAAAACAAACACACATCAAATAATGTCCCAATGTGGCAATGTATGAAAATACAGAAAACAAACACACATCAAATAATGTCCCAATGTGGCAATGTCTGAAAATATAGAAAACAAACACACATCAAATAATGTCCCAATGTGGCAATGTCTGAAAATACAGAAAACAAACACACATCAAACAATTTCCCAATGTGGCAATGTCTGAAAATAAAGAAAACAAACACAAATCAAATAATGTCCCAATGTGGCAATGTATGAAAATACAGAAAACAAACACACATAAAATAATGTCCCAATGTGGCAATGTATGAAAATATAGAAAACAAACACACATAAAATAATGTCCCAATGTGGCAATGTCTTAAAAACTTGTTTTTTTTATTCTTATATCGAGGTCAAATAAAAAAGGTAAAATAATAATGCAGTATTGAAATTGACTACATGTACATGTACCAAAATACATCAGTGTGAGAAAAAATTTCACCTTTCCTGACACTGTTTGATGATAATGAAATGTAAAAGAAGAATTCAGGTATGTTTTCTACATTCTGTAGATATCATATCTCAACAAGGCATCTCTCACCTCAGTTTTTCTCTAACCTCATTTCTGGAAAACAAATCCGATATATTTCTTGTAGGTGAGCCTTTTTGCTGACACCAAAATATACACTTAAACAATAATGCCAACCTTGAAATATACTCATAAAATCTACAGGTCTTAAACATTTAAGAAACTGAGAATGGCAAGTTGAGTTGCTGACCCTTTCACAACTAAAGAACAATAAATTCACATCACCTATCCAATGAAAATACTGGATAATATCTCAATAAAACACAGCATTTAGAGTACCATTAATGTTTTTTAACTGGAATATTGTTATACCACAGGAGACCTGTAATGTTTTCTTTAAATTCCACAAATTGTAGGTTTAACTAGACAAGTAGAGTTGTTCCCAAGACAACCATCACAGTATTTTGTGATGGAATCAGAGCAGGTCTTTGCAAACTAAGTCACGAAGAGGCATTACTATTTCAAAATCAAATTATAATGACCCCCCTCTATCATGAAAGGGCTTGGGTGGAGGGGGAACATTACCCACCATAAAGGTACTTACTTTAATACAATTATAGAAGGTATGGAAACATAACATCCCTAAATCGTGATCCTTTATTATTTTTTTTCAGAAGCACACACTTCTTCTTACCCTGTTTTTTCTATTTGTAATAAAAAATAGGTTTAAATGTCAGAGGTTCCACCTTTTTGTACCAACACAATTTTTACCTGTATACTTCCTAAGTTAATGATACAGTTATAAGACAACATATTTTTACCAATGTCAAGATGCTCTTGGCCTTCTTATGCTTATTTTGTAGTCTGCTGAATGAATTATATTTTTTTAATTTACACTGTATGTGCAGTAATTTATTACAAGACATGTAAGTATATTACAGGATGCAAGGGGGATATTAAGACCAGCATTTGTTTCAAATGGGCCATAATTCAGGCAAAATCTAAGTTAAGAGTTATAGACCTTTAATACATTAAATTCTACACAGTCAAAATATAGACAGTCTATTTCATGATATAATTAATATATTCAGTCAAATAAAGAGTCGATATACAGACAGCACATTTCACTGCATACCTAAAATGAGGTAACATACAACTGGTACCCAAGATACCCTTAATTGAAACAGATTGTCTGATTACAATCTGACAACAAAGTTGATGCTAAACTTCTAGATAAAACTTCTGAATATACATGTAGGCTGAAAAGTAGTAACAGACTGTAAAAAAAAAGCATGACATTAAAATCATAAGTTCAGTTTCAGCTTTAGCAAATGTTTGGACAAATACTGATTATTAAAAGCTTAAATGTTGACAAAAAGTTCAATCTGATTTCATCTGCAGCAAATTTCTAAAGAAATAAAGAGAGATTGGGATGTTCAGATCCAAAGATCAATTTCAGATCATACTTTTTCATTAGGGTACTTCAAATTTTGTAAATTACAGTTTGAACATTCTCAAACTTTGACAAATTTAAAATTTGGTTCTAAATTGACAAAAGTAGAAAAACATATTTTTAATCTCAGTGACCTTTGCCTGAACAAACCTTAAACCAAACCTAAAGCAAGATAATATAATACAAGGAATGGAAAGAATGAAGGATGGGTCTGAATTTAAAGACTGGGAGAAAGAACAACCAAGCATGTGCAATACATGTTACCCATTTATAACTGTCTATAAGAAAAGGCCAGAATGCATGTGAAATACATGTTACACTTATATAACTGTCTATAAGAAAGGGCCAGAAAGCATGTGAAATACATGTTACACTTATATAACTGTCTATAAGAAAGGGCCAGAAAGCATGTGAAATACATGTTACACTTATATAACTGTCTACAAGAAAAGACAACCAAGCATGTGCAATACATGTTACCCATTTATAACTGTCTACAAGAAAGGACAACCAAGCATGTTAAATGCATGTTACACATATATAACTGTCTACAAGAAAGGACAACCAAGCATGTTAAATGCATGTTACACATATATAACTGTCTACAAGAAAGGACAACCAAGCATGTTAAATGCATGTTACACATATATAACTGTCTACAAGAAAGGACAACCAAGCATGTTAAATGCATGTTACACATATATAACTGTCTACAAGAAAGGACAACCAAGCATGTTAAATACATGTTACACATATATAACTGTCTACAAGAAAGGACAACTAAGCATGTTAAATGCATGTTACACATATATAACTGTCTACAAAAAAAGAAAAACAAGCATGTGAAATACATGTTTCACATATATAACTGTCTACAAGAAAAGAAAAACAAGCATGTGAAATACATGTTACACATATATAACTGTCTACAAGAAAAGAAAAACAAGCATGTGAAATACATGTTACACATATATAACTGTCTACAAGAAAAGAAAAACAAGCATGTGAAATACATGTTACACATATATATCTGTCTACAAGAAAAGACAACCAAGCATGTTAAATACATGTTACACATATTTAACTGTCTACAAGAAAAGAAAAACAAGCATGTGAAATACATGTTACACATATATAACTGTCTACAAGAAAGGACAACCAAGCATGTGAAATACATGTTACACATATATAACTGTCTACAAGAAAGGACAACCAAGCATGTGCAATACATGTTACCCATTTATAACTGTCTACAAGAAAGGACAACCAAGCATGTTAAATGCATGTTACACATATATATCTGTCTACAAGAAAGGACAACCAAAGCATGTGAAATACATGTTACACATTTATAACTGTCTACAAGAAAAGAAAAACAAGCACGTGAAATACATGTTACACATTATATATATCTGTCTACACGAAATGGCCACCAAGCATGTGAAATACATGTTTCACATATATAACTGTCTACAAGAAAAGAAAAACAAGCATGTGAAATACATGTTACACATATATAACTGTCTACAAGAAAGGACAACCAAGCATGTGAAATACATGTTACACATATATAACTGTCTACAGGAAATGGCCACCAAGCATGTGAAATAAATGTTACACATATATAACTGACTGTAAGATATAAACTGCCTACAGAATAGTTTTTATTTGTTTGGGTCGTCAGACCAAACAAATAATGGTAGCGAAATTTCAGAGTCTAATGTTCTTAATTGCAAACGCCGAAAGTAGTCCACTTTTTTGAAGCGGTTACTTCCCTTTATATGTACACTAACGCCGAAAAATTCAGGGGAGATCACTGCGTAAAGATGGTCAAAGACAGGCGAATTAATGTTCAAGCAAAATAATTCCCAAATGGTCGAAGATTTCTAATATTGTTTTATTGTTTTTTCTGATCGAAATTAAGTAAATACAAAGCGGACATTCAATCTCTGACACAGAAGTTCACAACAAACCTAACAACAAGTAGTTCTCAAAACAGCTTAAAAACTAGCGATTTAAAAGAAAGAAAATATTTTTATTTTGTTACAAGTATCCAACAAATAACAACGCATTCAAAGTTTAAAAATAGCGTTGGCTAATAGAATTGTCAATAAATGCACAATCACAAATTACGCGGATGAATATGATTTTATCAATGAAAATACTATTTTTAGCGATGTCTATTACCGAATACTACACAAACCGAGTAGTGGAATATATAGATTCTACATGTCGGACTGTTTGGGCGAGAAGATTTTCGCTAAATTATTTACTTCAATTTCAAACAACAGGTTTATCCTGAACAAAATACCTCGAAATTAATAAGGATAACAAACCCGAAATGCAATGGAAGTTCTAAATCTAGAATGACTTGATGTTATTCAGATGTTATTTGTATAACTCCTCCGTGGTGCAGGGGTAACGCGCTCGCTTCAGGAGTGAGAGGTCTGGAGTTCAAATCCAAGTCGAGGAAACTTTTTTTTTAAATTCTTTTTTAAGTGTCTTTGTTAAGGAAGTAGCCATGATATGCAAGGATAAAGTGTGACTGTCGTAAAAAAATGAACATAAATGATTTTTTGATGCATCTCTAGTTATGCAGAATTCCGTATGTATCAAACTCTGGTGCCTTGCAAAATGAATTATAATACATAAAAATAAACTTATACAGGAAAATGCATACAGATATACAGTACGATTAAGATTGCAAAGATCAGAAAATACCACAGAACTTGCATCCCTTTGATTCTTTATAAATATACATGCTTATAGTAAGCTCCAGGATTATTTACATCTGTGTTAAACAACAGTTAAAGACGTTACAAGCCCTAATTTAGAATAATAAGGTTTTCTTCAGGCCGTCCACATATATTCACCGTGGCTGAAGGGTTTTTGCGCTCGCCTATAAAGCGAGAGGTCTGGAGTTCAAATCCCAGTAAAGGCAACTCATTTTTTTTTC